CTGCTCCGTGCCGAAAGGATTTTGAGCGTGAAAGGGGCAACTTTTTTTTTAACCTGAATAGCGGACAGGAAAAACAGAGTCGAGATAATCTGTCAGATGTAGGTCAAAACCTTGTTAGTTGGTTGTCCCCGGAGAGCCTGTGTCTGTGCTGCAGACTATTTAGAGCGGTTTTCACCGATGATGAGAAAGGCCTTGTACTGATCTTAGCTGTAGGATACTCCCGTTTTATCGTGGACAAAACAGTATTTGATCAGTATTTTGTTCACCGAAAGGAGCCAGCCGTTCGTTTCCCTTCCTGGTTGAAAATAACTGGATTTGTGCGGGGCACAATGCAACAAAAAATTGGGTTAGTCAAATTTTCTCCCTTGATTTCATATTCTCTTGAATTTGTTGGTATTTAGGAAAGGCTCGCTGGCTTTTTGTAAGAGGTTGCAGTTGAAATAGTATCAAATAAATCAGTCTGACACAAAAGCATGCTTGATGGGGGAAATATGCTGGACTTAGGATAATTGTGAATTTTTTTGTGGAAACAGCTTTAAAGTACGTTTATAAAGTATGTGTGTTTCCTCGATTTACACCATAAACAGGCACCAACTGACACTGCTAGACATTATCAACTGGTATCTTGATTTTTTTGTTTAAGTAATTACTTCTGTATCAAATAATCCATAAATGTCTATAAATGACATCATACTACAGTGATAGGCATTTTCCAACTAATCCTATTTTTCTTATTTTTTCCCCCTCCACTCTATCGCATGTTCGCTTGTCACAAAGATATCCCGAATCAATAACGATATAAGATAAATCACCCAGGCCTGTATTTGTACTGCAATTGTGTGCTGGACTTTACAGCTGTTCCACTCCAAGTACTTATCTGAAAAAGCACAGTGGGAAAAAAAAATTGTCTGGCTTCCAGAATTCATGCAGTCAAGTACTTCTGAACTATAAACCACGGACATGTCAGCTCTGGGAAATCCAAAGACTTGAACATTTTGGTGCTTGAGTTTTTCTGGGGATGATGATAATGTGGTAATCAATGCAATGAACGGTGGAGGGGTCAGACATTTCAGCAATTTATCAGTTTATAACCGGCGAGATTGTGACTTTTCTGCATGTTATGGGAATGTCATATTCAGGGCATGCATGCAGTCAATTCAGGACGGTGGGAAAAAGGCGGAAAGTCGGCCAACTCTGCTACAGGTCAAATGTATCAGTTTATAATCGGCGAGATTTGTGACTTTTCTGCATGTTATGGGAATGTCGCATTCAGGGCATGAATGTAGCCAAATCAGAATGGTGGGAAAATGGCGGAAAGTAGGCCAACTCTGCTACAGGTCAAATGTATCAGTTTATAATCGGCGAGATTTGTGACTTTTTGGCATGTTATGGGAATGTCACATTCAGGGCATGAATGTAGCCAAATCAGGACAGTGGGAAAATGGCGGAAAGTCGGCCAGCTCTGCTACAGGTCAAATTTATCAGTTTATAATCGGCGAGATTTGTGACTTTTCTGCATGTTATGGGAATGTCACATTCAGGGCATGCGTGCAGTTGATTCTGGACGGTGGGAAAATGGCAGAAAGTCAGCCGACTCAGCTGCAGGTCAAATTGGCGAAATGTGGCACAGTTACATGTACATATTGATATGCATACGGATATATTCAGTCTGTTTTCATTTTTGCCTTCAAGGCATACATACATGTGCATAAATTCACTTGACATTCAATTTAGGGGAAAATGGCAGAACGATTGCACAACCCTAAATGAGGGGCCTGGGTGAATACTACAATGTAAATGCGGCCACTTTATGGCAAAATATCGATCCATTTTCATATCCACATTCCAGGCAAACATCCTTATCAACATGCTGGCAGTTTCTCAATATACTGACCCTGTGCCTTTGCTGCCTATCCAAACATCCATCTTGCGGGTAACTTGCAGAGTTTAGGTTGACATGTAACCTTGCCATGAGTTAATGTCAGTATTAGCAGACTGTGATGATTTTGTAGTCAGGTTTCATAATTGACGGACAGGTGTCTCAAATTAGACTTGGCCAATATAAAAAATTGTTTATCGTCACCATCAACAACAATCTGCAAGACAACGTTCCCTTTTTTTGTTCAAACATTTAACCACAAGTATTTATGTCAGAAACTCAAGAAACCAATCACTGCGCAGTAAAAATTTTTTTTTTTAAACGTGTGGGGGGGTATCAAAGTTGCATGGAAACCAAGAATACATTTCACAGAATCACTAGTGGAGACAAGCGGATGAGCTGGAAGACAAACAGACTATGATATCCAATGTACCAGTAGTGCATATAGGGTCTAAAAATGGGCTTCCGATACCTCATAACAACTGGATTTTGAAGTTGGAATACGTTATTGTCGATATATAAAACGGACCTAAATTGGTCTGACAAATGTATTGTCCTGCTTGTGCTGAGTCCATCCAATGGTTTTATCGTGGGAGTCCTGATTTTCAAAAGCCATGCCAGATACAAAACTGTGTTGTTTCTAATGAAAGATAAAATGGACATTATTGTACAGTATTGAACAAAAACTCCATGCGAAACCTGTCTAATTTGGTAAATCCACTAGGCTAGGGGCATTCCTTTGCAATACAATAAACATAGTACGGTATACATGTAAATGTACTGCAGTCAAGAGGCTGCACTGTACAATATGGCTTCACGCAAGATGTTTTGTGAATAGATCCTTGTTTAACTTTCTCTGAAAAGCCTTTATATTTTTAACGAGGAGCGTAGCAGGCTATCAGACTTTTTGAATACTGCCTTTTTGACATGTTAACAATCCCTTGACAAGCACGGTGATTTTTTCTTTCTTTTTTCCCCGAGCAAAGCAACCTATAAACACCCACCAATCAATGGAGAATGGGGAGAACCAAACTATAAACACCCAACAATCAATGAGAAGGAGAGACCGTGGCCAGACAGCCCTAGGCGGTTGTTGATGCTGTTGACAACACTCTGTAATCCCGGCTTTCATACCCCGAACAAAAGCGGGGAAAATCACTGAAGCCGTAAAATCGAAAACCTAATCACAAACTGACAATGGAAATCACCGAAGCCCTTCGCTTACATCATGTGATAAAAACAGATATTTTTTTTGACAATCAGGGGAACAACTACACTCTTACAGGAGTCTAGAGTGAATGAAATTCTGGGATATATATATATAAAAAAAAAAAGCGGGGGATAAACACAAAGAAGTAGGTTAGTACTTTCCTAAAAGAATTTCAGATAGCTCTGAGTGACGTTCCAAGTCAATGATCTGTTGTCAAACTCTAGGGCTAATGGGGGAAAAAAGCTACCCGAATTAAAAGAGTTCCGGCATCGCATGGCTTCCCAAATTACCCAAGCGAGAGTTTTTGAAACTCTTCTTGGTTGAGGGAAGGCCTTTTGGGTACGCAATGATTGGGAATCCTTACAACGTGCCATCCGAGAAACCATGTCAGACCATTCGAACAAACACGATGGGTTTTCTGTGGCTCAATTTGGGAGAGAGGAACAACATCAACCATCAATCAAATTCAAGGATGAGAACAAGAATTTTGGCTGTTGATTTTTTTTTGAGAGATATGTCAAAAAGTTAAACTTCTTTCACAGTGATATACATGTATATTTGTCAAGTTTCAACTTACAATTTGTGTACTTTCAGAAACATTTAAGGAGACTTTGAACTAAACTTGAAGATACTATAGTAAATGACAATTGGTATTCGTTGATATTTCACATATTTATCGTTTTCAATTTCATTTCAAATATTGACCAAGCATGATTATTGTACCGGTATGTGTAGAGTAACACCAATTTTTTTTACAAGATTCTGATCCTAGTTAAATTACATGAACTCTGGATAAGACAGTCCACAAAAGACTCTTCTGCTGTTAATTGTGATAATGTACGGTACCGGTACATAAAGCATTTCTAATGTAAGAGGTTGATTCAAGATGAACTCTAGAGGGCAGCACACAAGAGCACCACACAGAAATCAAGTGTGGATGTGCATGCACTCTCACAGTGCATGTCAACTGCACACAATTCACTGAGAAATGGCCCAATGTGGCAGACTTAATGCAGTTATCTCTAACCACGTTGCAGTTATACGCCAGCTCCACCATCAGCCTGCCAATTATGCCTGCATTAGGAGCACAGCCAGTGTTTATTGATTTTAATGCCCCGGACTTAATTTAATTACAGGCCCCCCTAATTGACCAATTAAAGGGTCAGACATAGCACAGGCTGGCATGCACTCACAGGAGGTACCACTCTGGAGAATAGGGGGGATGTAGTTGGTTTTCCAGGGGCTGGAAATGGGGAAGATGTTTCAATCTGACATGACTGCTCAGCCATGGATGGAAATTAAGCTACTGTGGAAAAAAACCATCAATGTTGACTTTGGAGTGCAATTAAACAATATTAAGCAGCTGGAATTCACATTAACAGATGTTCATGAAAAAGAAAGAAAATAATTACTGAAAGCAAAACACACAAAGCCAAAATAATCAATCAGCCTGCAAAGTCATTAACCAAATGGCATACACGTGTACTTTCCGTTCACAAAACACTCCCACAACAGTTTTTGGGATTTACTGCAGTCCTTATACTGTCTCGTGCCTTAATCTGATGCGTAATGATCCTCAATGGATGCAACTGGAATACATTTCCAAGGCTGCTCGGTAAAATTCTTTCGAGTTACAGGCTGAAATGTATACACACGCTCTGACAGTGACACTGACAAACAGCCGTGCAGACAGATACTAATCAACACCCCGACAAATTGCTACAGAAAAGGCCTGAGAAATAGACATAATGAAGAGACAAGTGACATGGCCAAATAATCAAGCGCAAAGACAAATGGCTCTAAAGAAACCCAGACAAATAATTTTAATTAAAGAGACTACCAATTTCAACTGCTTTTCTTCAATTTTTAAAAAAGTATCTCAATGTTTGCAGACAAAAGATTGTTTCTTACCTCCGATCCAAGCAAATCAGTACAACTAAATATCGAAATGAAATATCGGTTTCCGGCGACGCAGAATGTAGAAATCCAACGCTCCAGCCAGCAAACAATAATAAATAATCCTTGGCAAAACAAGATGGATTGATTCTAATCCTGACTGTTGAAAGCTCTGACGTGGTGGTAGAAGATTATCACAAAATTCAAAGCGGCCTGTTCCACACAAAAAGCTAAAATCCTGCCATTGGTTGTGGTGTATTTCTGTAAGGAGTACTAGCTGTTCTACATGTACATGTAAACGCCGAGCTGTCGCTTGCACAATGCATGTATAGGTGTAAGGTCCAATGTGCTACACAAGGAGTTGTAATCTTCACAGACGCATGTGCATGAAGAAGTGTTCAAACATCCATCACAAAGCCATAACAGCATTCAAATAATCCACCACCAAATGTTGCATAGGGGTATCCAATGGGTTGGCCACAGATGTACAAATCCAGGGAGCCGACAGAGAACGTCTCAGGAACAAAGCAATACACAGTGCTGGTACTGGATGTATTCACACAGTGCACACAGAGCACACACGGCTTGTGTCTGTAATAGCTATGAGCCTCTCCCCCACACAGCATGCATGCAGGCGGTATCCACACTCACACGCAGGCAGCCAATATGCAAGCCCTGTAGTGTTCCGCAGTCCTACCCAAATTCAATCCATCGATTGGGCAAGCGTTCGCCCAACCAAAAATAAGGTTTCCGCAAAAAAAGAAAAACCCGCTCCGTTGTTGAACTGAGGCACTGTTTGCGCGAGAGGGGTTTCTTCTGCTACTGCCGGGGCTGTGTGTATTATTCAAACCGCCCCACGTCCTGTTCCATTCAGCGCCGGTCTGTGAGTGTGTGTGTATGCATGCAGCGGGGCCGAATATGTGTGCCACAACAATGCCAGCCCACAGAGCCTGTATCCGTTTCTATTGCCCCATAACACATGTATTCAGCTTCACCGGCGAGTCCACAAGGCACATGCACAGCATGCATCACTCACGCATAATACAGTCGATGGGGTGCTCTCGGTCGATCGAGTCCCGCAGCGTTTATCAGAACACATCCACTGCCGTCGTCGCCCACTGATCCATATGACCCACTCCCCTTTTTTTTGGTATAAATTTCTCCCAGCTACAGTGGTTCTTTCGTTTTTTTATCAGCCAGACAACACACACCCGTTAATGCGGCTGCTGCAACTAATTAAACCGGGCCGGCATATAGGGCAGATTTTTTTTTTTTTTTTTCTCCCCCTGTTGGAGCTCCCCCGAACTGTTGATATTCACTCCCAGAGCCCTTTTGCCAACACCTCGGGAGTTGTGCCTGTGTTGACACAGGGGAAACAGGGAGGGCAATAGCAATGCATCAAAACTGGGCTGGCTTGGCTAGCTGGCTGGATAGCTAGCACCCCCTCCCCTATGCTCAGTCAATGAGTCTCGCTCGCATATTTAAAGGAGCATGGAGTAGAAGGCGGAGTCCTTGGGTTGTTTTTGCTAGTGCTGTTGACAAAGAGAGAGCGAGGCAAAGAGAGACACACACAGACACACACAAGAACCCCCCCCCCTTACTGAGTAGCTGCCATGCATAGCCCTAGTGCTTGTCAAATGGAGCAGAAACCGTAGAAGCCTCTCTCTGCAATCTCCATCTTTGCTTTCGAGAGAGGGGACGCAGACATTGTGTATACACACTACAAACAAACAAACCGTGGAGAAGGAAAACCTGAAGAACGCATGCACGGCCAACGGTTGGCAGGATTTTAATGACAACCTGATGAAGAGAGATGATAAATGAAGGGGGGGGGGGAGAGAGAGAGAGATGGCTACTGTGTTCCACCAGGGCAAGATAACGGGCAGTCAATCAAATTATTAGGCTTGCTTGATGATGGAATCGATATCTCTGTTGATACTTAGCAGATGGCCTTTCCAGTATTTGCTTTGGGATCGAAATTTATCAAGCGCCCTGCAAATAAAGCTGACTGTAGCTTTATTTTATCAATCATCTCTTTTCTTTCTTTTTTTTATAAAGGTGTTCACATGAGCAATCTGCTGCCACCAATTAAAATTCTTTGTTGTCAGTGACTGCGGCAGGGCTGATTTTGATTGGCTGCTTTATATGCCTGGCCTCGTAAATTGGAAGGTCAGTGTTTTCCAACTGGAAATAATCAGATTAGATTGACCCCTGTGGCACTTTCGCAGGGGGGGGGGGGGGAGGCAGAGTTAAAGCCATCAGTAAGTTTATGTTAAGTGTTTGGATTGATTGATTGACTGCTTTGGCAAATTGGAAAAATATACTGTGCTAATGCAGGGTAACATTTGGACTATGCTGGTTTGAGGGAACAGCAAACATGAGATTTTTTCAATTGTTACCGGGAACATTTTATTAATCTCAAACTGCATTTGACAACTCATGTTTTATTTTCTAAATTGTATTCTTTAATAACCAGGCACAAGCAATCTATTTACAGTAAAGGCTATTAGGCCAGAAATGACGGTAGCTCAGACAATTATTTTATTTTTACATGGCAAAATGCCAACTCTACCAGAAAACAAATCTTGATACATGCCCGTCTGTATTGTACTTATAAAACACTCCTTTAAATACTGATGTTGAAATTCTGATCTCATACACACAAACCCAGGAAAAATAAAAACCCAGCTGGAATTCTTTTTACTTGCAAAAGTAATCATCATTCCCATGATCTTTTTTCCCAGGTACAATGTAATATCAAATCTACCGGTACTCTAATATTTGGGGTTTTTAAAAAAAAAAATTAATTTTTATTTTTTTATTAATCATTTGCTTTTCTGATACGGTACCCAAATAACAAGTCTCTGTGACACTTTTAATAATACACAGAGCAAGAGAGGCCATAATCTTAACATTATTGGATAGGCATCCTGTTCCCGTTTTTTAAAATTTTTTTTATATTGTTCTTGGAATGAAGGAAGAATATTACAATCCTTGAAACTTGACAACCTGAGGCCAGAAGTAACTACAAGAACAGACCGATAGGTCTAACCCCTTGTGGGGAACCTCTCGGGTCCCCCACGCAAAAGAAAAACACCCATTTTATTGGTTATATATCAGACTGAGAAACACTCTACGGCCATTGTTACTCTGCCCGGAAAAGCGAATCCGGGAAAGAGTGAGACAGGCGAGTGCTCGGAGAGACGGCCCAAATGAGGACAAATCTGAACTAAATGAAGATTTTCCTGCAGGCGGAAGAGGCATTAGTGCATTACCCCGCGCTTGTTTTAACGTTAAATAAAAAAAAAAAAATTTGGAAGTGGTCGGAGCAGGGTACCGGTGCTAATACAAGCTCCCATCAGCACTAAAGCAGAAGGAAGAAAAGCCCGTGAGGGACACCAGTTTCTTTCCCCCGAATCGCCACAAGCCTTATATCCCATCAAGGTATCCCCTGCTTGATTGCACCCTAAATGAGTCCTTTTTTTTTTTCTCTCTTTCTTTTCCGTCCCCACTTTTCCCCCCTTGCCGCTGAAACACGGAGACCGGCACAAAAAGCCCCCGCTAGGGGGCTGTGTTACTGGAGCGGATGTGTTCATATTGGCTTATTAATCACCGGCAGCAGTTTGCGAGGGGGAATTATTTGTTCTGGGACGGAGAGCTCGAGCAGAAAGCTATTTTGATATTGAAGGAAGCATGCTTCAATATGCCTTCCTGAAACGCGATCAAAGATGTGGGGAAAGTGATAAGAGACGATTTCATTTCTTTATTTTTGTTCCCCCTCTTAATGGTCATTGGTTATTAGGAAGGAACTTCGGTTTTATTTTTTATTTTCATGCATCAGCTGGTGTGGTTTTTATTAGGAGTAATATTTTATCAAAGATATTCAGCTGATAAGATAAACTGTGCTCAGTCATTCGTTCAAGCAGGCATGACACAGTGCAATGCAATCAAACATTCACCGGCCGGCGGTGATTACATGTAATTGCACATTTGCTGAAAGACAACTTTTGCAATTTCTTGCAGAATTTCATCTCCCATGTACATGTAGGCCTATTGCCATATTGAAACAATACAAGGTGACATTTACAAAAATCTCTTCAGCAGTACATGCAAGTCGGCAAATTTTCCCCAATTTGTGTTTACAATTTCCCCTTAGATGTTCACAAAATATTAAATTCTCCCTCAAGTTTTCTGAAAATCTAGTGAATCAAAAATAATTTTTTACTTATTTCAGTCCTTACATTTTTGCTACAAAACCTTGCCCAATGGACAACAAATGCATTTATAAACTCCAAATCTGTGAAAGAACTACATGTACATGTAATTACATGTACACATATTAGACAATGTAATTAAATTCCAATATTTATGGGGGCGTTCAGACACTGTTTTAAATTCGCTTTAAACACTAGTTCAACTTGATTCCGTGTACCTTTTCTGCCAAAACAGTTTTAAATTTATACCGAATCGGTTTTATCACGCCGCTAAAACGGTGAGTCAAAACACCTCGGAGGGTGGGTTTAGCGCTGAACCAGGATGATTTTATCTTCTAGTACGGTGTCTGAACGGTTTCAGCGTGTCGTACCCCGTCAGGTCGGTGATAGTCGTTTCTTTCCGTAGTTTCTTTCCGGGGAAAAAATCTGCTAAAAAACATGTTCAGAAGCCCAACAGCTACTGCAGGGATACATGTATATATCCAAACTGGTGATGACAGAGACATTACGGGTTCATGTCGGCTACAATTTCCCAGCACCATCCATCAGCCCCTGCTGGGGAATGCTTGGAGTTTTGGAACCATGGTCTCAGGATCATTAGAAGCACTGGGAGTGAGATGGGGTGACTGTGGATCAACGGAGGTGCGAACAGAGGCCACTCCAATGAATGGATGGGGTCAGTCAGTGGGGTTGAGATGGGCTCGTGGATCATTCCTGATGGCGGCCCAAAACAAGTAATGACGGGGAACATTGTGACGTGGAAACATTACGCCACTGGAGGGGTGTGGTTGGGAGGGGGGATTATAGACCAACAAAGGTGCAAACAAAGGCCACTTCAATTAATGTTTAGGGTCAGTTATGGGGGGGGGGGGGTTGAGATGTGCCCATGGATCATTCCTGATGGCGGCCAAAAAACAAGCAATAAAGGGGAACATTGTGACGTGGGAACATTACGACATTGAGTGGGTGTGGTGAGAAGGGGGGGGGGGACTATAGACAAACCAAGGTGCAAACAAAGGCCACTCCAATGAATGTTTAGGGTCAGTTATGGGAGGAGGGGGGTTGAGATGTGCCCATGGATCATACAAAGTTGTTGGAGATTACGACATGGGAACATAACAACATGGGAATATTACAACTTGGGAGGGGTGTGGTTTGGAGGGGGTTTGGCTACAGCCCAAAATAAAAGTGCAGATAAAGGCCACTCCAATCAATGGAGAGAGTCAAGAGGGTTGAGGTGGGCTCATGGATCATTCCTGCAGCAGCCAAACAAGTAATGATGGGGAACATTGTAAGACACCAGAATGAATTTGATGACCTTCCACCTTGCAAAGATCTTTCATAAAATCTATTCTGAAGCCACACTTGAGGTACGCAGGTTAACAAGCCAAGTCGCGATCATTTCTGGTTGCAAAACAATGGATACCCGGCATGAATAACCTTTCGACATGTAGATCAGATTTATATCTGTCACTGTTCTTTCTAGCTTTAGGTTTTGAGTAAGATGACACACATTTGTGCGAGGGGTTAACTACTGCATTGTGTTGAAGGACATGGGTTCACATCCCACCAGGGCCATCCTGGAATTGCTAAGCACACAACTCTGCTAAACACTGAATAAAAAAGCTGAGTAAAACAGGTTATGTGCCTAAATGCCATTGGATTGATTTTCTTTGTGAATATTCTCAGGCAAGTTTTTGTACCTTTGCTTGGATCATTTTCCGCCTTGTACAGAAGTACCGATTGAACTACAGAGGTACATGTACCTCACTGACTGAAAAGAGAGAGGCTGGTGGGGAGCCGTTAAACCAGTTTCAATCGGACGCCATCTTGCTTGTGACACCATGACTGTACCGCGATCCACACTCTGTGCATGCAATGCGAACATGTACACGTGTACAGTATCCACCCTAAAGACTGGTTTCT